CCAGTTAGTGAGATGTTGATCCAAGTCCTCCCCATTTATAAATTAGTTTATGCGGCCTAACAACGTAACTGACCTCATGTCGTACAAAGACCGCCTGAAAGATGCGTTTTGTAGAATGCTGAATCTGTAACCTTTTTTCCGCCCTCCCCCCTTGTCGCAAAAATATCGTTAAGCAGTACGGCTCTTCGGTCGATTTCGCCATTCTACCCCGCAGCCAAATACCTTTTCAATTGGCTGCCTTGTTATTGGCAACATTTGCGGTGTGCTTTTCAAAGAAGTCCCGTGAAGAAGTTCACTGTCGTCAATCATGTTGACTTTTACAGCATATTACTGTGCTGTAGTTAAGTTCCTGTCATCACTACCGGATCTTTTTGTTTATTGGTAATTCCCAGGTCCCCAACATTTTCCCGACTTGAATAAATTTTCCGGTCCCTATCACTCTTTGATTCTTCACACGTAGGACTGGTCCCAAAAAAGTGTGGTTTGTGTGTCAAATGATTAGTAAAAAGAATTCCCCGAGTGTACGCCAGCTGTCTAGAAGCCTTAAGTACTGATTTCTTAATAGTTCGGTTACCATGCCTTTGGCCTCATTCTCCCATTTTTAACAACTGCCTACTTTAACCTGCCTAGACGGACTGGCCGCGCTGGACGCAAAGGCTATGCCCATACTTTTATCACCCCCGATCAGGAAAGGAATGCGGGTGATCTGGTCAAAGCTTTCAGTCTGAGTGGTCAGCCGGTGCCCGAGGACATTTACCTTCTCTACGAGGGCTATAAGGAACGCATGATGATGGTGAGTTGTGTCAATCGCCCTTTTACTTTGCACATATTTTGATGTCATCTGTTTAATAAGTTGGTTGTACTTGACCCACTTGTGAAAAATTCGCGGCGTCGGTGGGGGTTGAACTCCCACAGCAGGGAAGGCTTTTACGCAGCCAACGCTCTACCATTGAGCTACGAGGCTCACCGTGAGTCGTGGATTAAATCAAATTTGGATAGATTTTCCTCGGCCAACTTAGTGCTTGTATGGAATCCCCCAGTATGGATACAGTGAGCTGACTGCCCAAACAAGATTTCCTAAGCAGTCCTCTGGAATCCTCCAGGTTGACTATTAGGCTCACTTAATTGTGGATTCGACTCCCACCGAGGCCGCGAATTTTTCACAATTGGGTCAATTGAATTAAGCAAATATGCCAACGCCCCTAACCATTTGATTTTAATCGAAGCCATCAGTGAGCTGTAATGTGTGTTTGTTTTCCCCCATAAGCAGTATGACAAATCTATAGAGTACTGCACAGAAGGCGAAGTGTGTTATGCAAAATGATGGTCGTTCGCGACTTAATCAATTGTTAAGCATTCTCTTTTACCTTTATATCAGTGCGGGACTGAGTGACCGCAGATGGGTCTAGTCTTTCTGACCAAGGAGCCTCTACACATAGCGTAGTAGGATTCGTGAACAAAGCATCACCTATCAGTCGGTATAGGGATTAAGCATTCAATGGCGGCCTGTTAATCGCCGCCGTCCTATTCAGAATTGATTCGTTCTACAGGGTGGAAAAAAAGTTATTATTCCCCTTTTATTGCATGAAAAAAACTCCTATATTCTCGACAGGGAATGACAGATTACTACACACTAAGGTATCTGGGCTGTTTTGGTCCTTCTGTCCTTTATGAATGAAAAGGTTCGCGTTCCAGGTATGTGCATGGATAAGGAAGAAGACGTGTCGAGCACCGGATCAGTTGATTTATTGTCCTGAGCCTTCGAACTCTTACAGGAGTCCATCTTCAGAGATGAGAAGTAGCAACTAAAAA